CAAATAATGAGTAAGGACAGTGCACCAGAATATGATCTCTACTCTCTATACCACCTGGGCATAATAAACAGCAACCAGAAACGTTCTTGCCCCAAGATAACAGCTTATCCTAGGTTACCAGCCTCCTGTGAATAGCAAGCCACAGAATCAAACCATGCTTAGGGATGACTTCCTTCGCCCATACTAACCTCCACCACTACACTTCTGGGGTTTTCTCCCCGAAAATCTCTTCATTTGCTCCCCCTGCCATAGTATACAGCTTCCATTTCCAGTTACAAATGGGTAAGCAATAGACCTGCATTTCAATAGACGTTTCTAGATCCAAGTTCCTGCAGAAGCAGCTGGGATTTCCCAAATACTTCTACCTTTCAACCTGTATCTAGATACCCATGCAACCCAAAGAGACCCACCCATTGTAAGAATTTCCCATAAATGCCTCAAAACACAAGTTTTGTTCCATACACTAAAGTTCTTGATGTCCAGCCCCCCCCCCCTCCTTCTTAGGAGTTTCCAACTTATCCCAAGCCATTACTTCCTTTTTTCTATTTCCATCTTCAGTTGAATCCCACAAGAACTCATTACATAATCTCTCCACCTCCTTGATAACATATTGAGGCAGCAAGAAGATGTTAAGCCAGTACTGAAGCGTGCTTGAGATAGCAGTTGATATAAGTTGAATTTTCCCAGCATAGCTTAATAACTTTGACCTCCAACTTCTCAATCTTTGCGTTATCTTATCCACCAGAACCTTACAGTCCTGCCTAGTGAGTTTGCCTGTGATAAGTGGAACTCCAAGGTACCTCATTGGAAGTGTACCAAGAGGAAATTCAGTAAACTCAGATATTGCAGTCATCTTTTCCTTTGGGATTCCAGTACAAAAAAGTTGACATTTAGCTGGGTGGCATCTCAGTCCAGAAATCTTATAAAAGCTATCCATTAACCTTCTAATGCCTGCAACCCCTCTTATTGACCCATTAGTAGACATCATTAAATCATCCGCAAAACACAAATGGGTAACCATTAAGAGGTTTACAACTAGGATAGTAAGGAATCTGGTTCTCTGTCACTGCTTTCCTAGTCAAACAGGCGAGAGCTTCCATTGCAATTGTAAACAGGTAGGGGGACAAAGGGTCCCCCTGCCTCAGCCGTTTACTTGCCTTAATATTCCCACACAGCCCACCATTAACTGCCACTTTGATAGTTGGAGTGGTAACACAGGCAACAAGCAGTTTAAGAAAACCCAAGGGAAACCCCATGGCCTCCATAATATGAAACAAAAACTTCCAGTTCACTGAGTCAAATGCCTTCATTATATCAATCTTCACCCCACACCTAGGAGTAATATTCTTCCTATGGTAGTTTCTGACCAGTTCTGACACCATAAGTATATTATCACTTATAGATCTCCCTTTAATGAAAGCAGATTGAGATCTGCTAATCACACTAGGGAGCACTAAAGCAATTCTATTGGCTATCAGTTTAGATATCCCCTTATACAATGTGTTACAGCAAGATATGGGTCTATAATCCCTCATCTTTTCAGAGTTAGGAATCTTGGCTACCAATGTAAATATTGTACTATTCACAATAGAGTAGAGAAAAAAAGAAAGAATTACCTCTTCAACTTCAGGTCCAATAAGAGACCAGTGAGCTTTATAGAACTCAACTGGAAATCCATCTGGCCCTGGGCCCTTATCCTTACCAAGAGTCTGGAAAATCTGCTTAAATTCTGCTCGAGTAATTCCTCTCATCAACATATCCTTCTCTTCATCAGATAATTTGTGCTGGATTAAATCCTGATAATAAGAACCAGCTTGAGTCTCCACATTGGGATCCTCAGAACTAATCAGCTTTTCATAAAACTCCACCGCAATCTCACCAATACTCTGCACGTCTGTTTTAACTTCACCACTGTCATTCATCATTCGAGTGATTTGCTGCCTTTGAGTTTTAATCTTCACAATTTTATGGAAATAGGCAGTATTAGAGTCCCCTTCCTGTATAGCTTGTGTCCTTGCCTTCTGCCTATAGAATAGTTCTTCTGCCTTTTTAAGCTCAAGATACTCAACACACGACTGTTTTTCCCTTGCCACTAACTCTTCAGTGGGATTAAGCAATACCTCCCTTTGAGCAGATTCCAATACCACTACTGCTTCCTTCACTCTTCTAGAAATATCTGAATAAACAACTCTATTCAACTGCTTCAGAGCCTGCTTAACACTCTGCAATTTCCCATAGAAAATATAAGAGGATACCCCTCCACCTCCTTGGCCCATGCTTGTTCTACTATATTGACATAGTTAGGATGAGATTGCCAAAAGGTAAAGTACTTGAACGGCTTAGGAAGTGTTTTCAGCTTTGGATCAGTGTTCAAAATTAATCCACAATGGTCTGATACCCCTGGAGGATTTGTGTGAGCTGAACTTTCTATGAACTGCTCCAGCCATGCCTCATTCACAAACACTCGATCAATCCTACGAGCAATAGGATTTGCCTGCTGCTTATTCCACCATGTGAACCAGTTTCCTACAACCTTGTGATCTACCAATTCCATATCCTTTATCCAACCTCTGAAGTCCTGCATACTCTGGGTTATCTCCTGCACATAAGATGTTTCATTAATCTCAGCTATTGCATTGAAATCCCCCCATGAAACCATGGGAATGCTATCATCTCTTCTCAACAACAACTCCTGATAAAGCCTTTTCCTCTCCACCTCTTTATTCGGAATGTAAACAAAGACCGCTACGTATGGTTTAGTATCCTCTACCAGTATCTGTAAGAAATGCTCCCCTTCCTCTATACGAGTAACCTTCAGACCTGCACTCCAAAAAATCGAAACTCTACCTGATTTTGATTTGTCATAGTTATCTATATGTTGCCAAGCAGAAAAAACTCCTTCAATTATTTTCTTACTATTTTCTTTTGTAACTCTAGTTTCTAATAACCCTACTATATCAATACTTTTCAACCTCAACTGCTCAAGAACAGCTGAGTGCTTATCAGGGGAATTGAATCCCCTGATATTCCAACTGAGTATCATGTCCAATCGCATTCCCTAGTTATGTGTTCTTGAGTTTCAACCAGTCCACAAAATGGGTATCCATCCTCCGCCTCTGGTATTCGCTTTACTAGGTATCCTCCTGTTGGCAGAATGTTAGATCCCCATCTCCACACAAAAACTCTTACTTTGGGGGGGAGTTCCAAATGCCAAATCCTTTTCCAATCAATTGGCTCATATTGCTCTGGTTGATCACCCATTTGCTTCCTTCTCCATTCATGGTATCCCAATTTCACAACATAGTTCCCAGTTTTTCCTTTGTCCCAACACCACTTATCTGGACTTGGTCGAACAGGGATGGGGATTGATTTAATCCGTTCTCGATCAATAGGTTGGAAGTGTTGTTGTAATAGATTACTTCTCCATGAACGAGTTGTTGGATCAATCAAATCGATCACCCTTGCATTCATCCCCAGACTTGTGACTGTTGTTTGCACTTTAAAATCCGCCGCTTCTGGTATCCACCTATCCCACCAAATTCTGATGCTCCTTCCATCCCCCACCCTCCACCTTCTTCCTTCCTTCACCAATTCCTTCGCCGACATAATGCTTCGCCATATATAGCTAGGGTTAGTTCCCACCTAGCTGTGCTTCTATTTGAATAGCTTTGAATCCCCTTACTGCTAGAATCAGGACCTATCCACACTTTTTGCTTTTGCTTCCTGCTACCCACCAAGGTAAACCCTTCATTATCCACTAAACCACTATGGAGAAGGAGTTTTTGCCACTGTCAGAGTCGCCTCAACCTCTTTCCCTGCCCTGTGCTCAGCCTCATTTTCATGTACTTCTTGTTCCTGATTCTGAACTTCCATCCCCTCAGCCATTTCAATCAGACTCGAATTCACCACTTCTGGAACCTCCCCTATCACTGGATTCTGCTTAATCCATACTTCCTGCGGTTCTTCTACTACCTTAGCACAACTATACCCAAAACATTCACATTTCTCACAAACTTTCAGCATATGGCAATACACTACATCAATAAAAATTTCTGGTAAACCATCTGGTGTAACATTCAGCTTGGATACCTTCTTTGCAGTAGCCTTGACTTCCACACAGATTTGAGCAAAGCCCACTTTTCGACCCTGAGTAGTAGATTTGTCCATACATAATGGTCTCCCCAGCGAGCTAGCCACTCTTCTCAACCCTTCCTTAGAAGTAAGCTCCGTTGGCAAATTGGAGAGCTTAATCCACAATGGTAGCGCCGAGTTGTCAATCTTAAGGGGACTGATCCCAGGCTCCTACTTCCGAAGAAACAGTAGGTTTTCCCGGTGATGCCAAGGCCCGTTTTCAAACACCAATTGACAGATATCAGCCGAAGGGAACTGAAATAACACCAGTCGTCTTCCCATCCAAGACGCCTTTACCACACCATCCTTGCCCCACAACCAGTTCGCCCAACACCTTATCGAAGAAATCGAAGCCGGTCGATTAATGAATTGGCCGACTAAACAGTTCTCACAACGCTTAGCCCCTTCCTCAACTACTTCCCTTGGAATCCTTAGCGAACCATTCATAAACTCCAGCTCGTAGTAGTCTAGTCGATTATCCTCAGGGATTCCAAGCAGTAACACCCACTGACGACCGTCGCCAACTGCAGCCGCACCGTCAGCGATGGCCGCCATCGCGCGATTGCTTAGGGTTTAGAGAATCAGAGAGAAGAGAGAGATCGATAATACAAAATTATCTTTATCATAATATAATTTATCTTTTTTCTATCATTTTAAAAATAACAAAAGTAGAAAAAATATTATTTAATATAATAGAAATCCATTTTATTAAAAAAAAATATTTTTTTTAGTATTTTTTCAAGAACTTTCAAAATAAAAAAACATTTCTAATAATTTTTTTATGAATACTTCTAATAAAAAATATTCCTAATAGTTAAGCTAATATTTTTGAAAAAATTTAACTAAAAAATTATATACAAATATACTAATGCGACTTCCTTAATAAATAAATAAATAAATAAATATATAGTTTATGCTTATAGTGTATATAAGGTTCCGTATCTAATAAATAGGCCACAAAACATAATAGGTTATGTGGGCCCCCGCCACAAATTTTGGGGTTTTCTGCTATTAATAATAATGATAATAATGATATAAACGTGTTCAACCATCTGCAAATCTAGCATTCTTTCTTCACAGACGCGTAATAAGGATGGGAATCTGTGCCGATGCATCCTCAACAGGCTGGCCCACCTCTCCGTAACGCTCCAAGACCCGCATCCTGCATTCTTCGGCTGCCATAAGCCCAGTGGAGAAGGCACCGTGCACCGACCCTGGGAAGCTCAAGCTAGTTGCCTCCCCTGCAAAGAATAATAGGTTATCTACTGCCGCCTGCAGCTTTTCATACAGATCATGCGGCTTCCCCACTAAATCATAGCTGTAGGAACCAAGCGAGTTTATGTCTGATCCCCAATGAGAAACCAGGTGTTGAATCTGCATACAAGTCAAAAAAAATTAGTTACTGTTGGTAGCAATACATTGTCCAAATGGCTCAAGAGTCTAAGAGAGTTCCAATTCCATGGACAAGTACTGTTGTAGTAGAGAATAAAGAGGGGATGGGCGGGATACCGGGGTAGAGGCATCAGGAAGGATCCTCTTGAGTTGCAAAAATGCGAAATTAGCAGCAGCTTCATCAGACATTTTCTCAATGTCCCTAGCAAGCTGCCCAGCTGGCATGTACACAAGCACAGGGTGACCAGTAGCCTTGTGAAGGTTTAGAAAGTAGCTGCAGCCATAAGATGTCTCTGCCACCACCCCTAGGAACTCCACATTCGGCCAGAACACCTTGTCGAAGTGCAAGGCAATCTTGTTCTCGATTCCCACTCCAAGGTCATTAATCGCATTCTCCTTCCAATCTGGTAGTTTTGGTTCAAAGGTTAGCAACTTCGATTTCAGCACCCCAAGAGGCACGGCAACCACAGCTGCATCTGCCACAAATGTCCTCCCATTTTCTGTTGTGACTTTCACACCATTATGACGTCTTGTGATGTTTCGTACCCTAATAAAACAAGCAACAGGAAGAATGAATTCAACCATGCAACCACCAGAACAAATTAGAACAGATTGATAGTGGGGCTACTGGCTAGGGAACATTATGCCAACAATACATGCATGCCATGCCCGAGGGAGAAAAAGGAAACATAATACTGCAGTAATTACTAGCACACCTATGGCCCAAACGGATGTCAAGTCCCTTGGCAAGAGTGTTTATCACTGGAACATAACCTCTAACCATGAGCCCATGTCCACCGGGGAGCAGTTCTTCCTGCAACACACCAAATTGTGTTTTTTAATGAATCGGTGATATCTTATTTCATCAAAAAACAACCAATACTAGCAACATACTCCGCCAGCTAAGTGTTTTCCATGCAAATCAATAGTATTATCAATTATTCAAACTATATCTCTCCTATAATTGTATATAGAGCCATACTAGAACCCAGATTCCAAACTATTTGAATTTACAACTCGTTCATTGACCACCCAGAAACAGACCAAATTGTTGCAGTTAGATATCGTAATTATTTCCCAGTGATAGAGGCACAGCTCTGTACAACAATCACCTTTCAGTAGACAATCTAATCTAATATACTCAAGGAAATAAGCAAAAAATACAATATTATCAAATGTAAAGCATCTTGTTTGTTTCTGTCTTTTGTAAGTTCATAAAACAAAAAATGCCTAGCATCTTGATGACAGAAAAAGCACCATCCAAGATGAGCAACGGAGGGCCAAGTTTAATGATGCAGCACTTACTTGGTCCCAGCACTGAAGTGAGATGGTCTCTGCATCTGCAGCAAACCAACCTTCCATTCTGCAAAGGTACCACTGAAGAACCTTATGGGAAACACCATCCAACCTGCATTAACATGATCATATGAATAGAACAGTTATGTTACTGTCCACTCTACAGGATATACAAGGGGAGAAAGAAAACATCCCAGTAATAAGTCTAAAGCCAATTTGCTGATACGCTGGAAGAGATCAAACCTTAGGTCTGGTCTTCTTTCGAAAACAATAGAAAAAGCTTGTTGTATAGACATGTCTTCCTTGTGTTCCTCTCTTACTTTGTTAGTCTGCATCCACGAAGAGACATAACCATTAACCACCAAGGAGAAGATAAAAAAAAAAAAAAAAATACCAACTTCTATCTTGGAGCAAGTTGGAATAGCACATTTTCTTGTACTCAGGAGCATAATAGCAAACAAAATGCAGGGGAAAGACAACAGTCGGGCAAAGAGAACGCACAACACAAAGGGATGGGCACCCCTGAGGTATTATAGGCTAAATTAAGGCACAATCCATACTTAGGAATTTAAGAAAGAAAGTAGGATATTAGGAAGCAACAGTTCAAAAGATAGTTGAGATATTTCAAATGTTGTAACGCCGCACACAAAGAGTAAGAACCAAATACCTCTTCTAAGATCTTCTCAAATGCTTCCCCTACCCCGGTGACCAATTCTTGGGGAACTTGATTCCCCTCCATGTCGAAGAGTGCATAACTGCATGTGCATTACATGATCGAGTACAGTTACGATACTGCCTTCTTTAACACAGTAGAAAGGCTCAACCAACTAAAAACTAAATGAATTAAAGATGCTTTATTTTATATTCAGCAGAGCATTTTAGAATCAGAAGAACAGTAGGTAACAGGCATGAAGGCAACAAAAGAAGAAAAGTTGTTGTACCTTTCCAAATCATGGTCATACAACACGGAATTATCACCGCTAGTCCGATACAATGGCAACCCCAATCTCCCAATCAGCGGAGCCAAAGGGTTCTCATTGCAGACCCCATGCAACCTGCAGAGTGATAATCAAAATAAAACTCTTATCCCCCAACTCCAGGAAAAGAATGAAATCAGTCCGGAACAAAAATGAGAAATGAACTAGTTAGTATTCACCATGATGCACCCAGGTCAATAGGGAAACCAAATGTGAAGTCGGTGTGAACTCGTCCACCAAGTCTGTCCCGTGATTCCAACACAACAACCTGACCAAAAATGTACGAGTGAAGAAGAAAATGACAAACTTAACAAGGGATAAGCACGACCACTTCACCACCAAACACCTCAAGAAAACAACCTCGATTCAAGCTAGCTTAGCTCATAGAATTCATGAACAACATGGATAAAATAACTCAAACCAATCTCCCACATCATGTGCATAAGTAGCACGTAATTAGGCCTGTAACGAAGTGATCGGCCGAACCCAGTTTTACCTGAAACGAGGCATCATGTAGAGCACGAGCAGCAGCAAGTCCAGACATGCCACCACCAATCACAATAACTGAAGGTGAAGCAGCTCCCTTTCGCTTCACATCATTTGAGTGACAAAGACCTATAAGCCCACCAACATCAACAAAAATAAAATAAAAACGCTGCCAAGATTAGTCATCATTACTCCCAAGCCGCGCTAAACGAAAAGCCAAGTTCTTTTACAAAATCATATTTAAAAACCCCCCCAAAATATTTTATACGTCAATGAAAGAGCACTCGTCAGCTGTCCACATAATGCTTCCACCGCCGACACGCACATGTACATACAAAATCTTCGAAAAAGATCTAAACTTTTCCCAACCAGAGAAAGGACTGCGCCGCGACCTAACTTTATAATGAACAGAGCAAAAGACAACCCACACACAAACCTCTGCGCAATTGATTGCGATTACTCTTCGATCCAGACTCCATTTTTCTCCACACGCGATCGACAATCCAAACAACAGGTACTGCTGCTGCTACTGCTACTACGATTGAGCTTAGTACTAGAACTAAAAGGTAACGGCTGTATGGATTTGTTTTCGTATTTGAAGAGGGAAGCGGGCAATTGAGGAGAAAAATGGAGAGTAAAAATCAAGAGGCACGTAATGAAGTGGCCTGAAGAATTGGAAGAGGACAACGATACTATATTACAACCCAGCTTCCCTGACCAGCTCATGCAGAAGTCCTTCTCTCGCCGATCCTACCCTTCGCTTCGTCCCAATTTACCAAACAACCCCCTAAATATCTGTATCGCTTCGTCCTTTTCCTGTGTTTTCCCGCAGCTCTCGATCTCAGGGCAAAAGCGACGGCTGGGAAAAAGGAGAAGATCGGGAAAATTCGAAAAGAAAACAGGAGGCTCGGACGGGAAGCGATCGGAGGGAGATCAAGGGGATAGGAGAGATCTTGGAAGGAAATCCGCCGCGAATTGAATTTTCCCGAGAAAATCCGAGGGACGAAAAGGGCACACGCAAAACGTTTCCGATGGGGAGAGAGAGAGAGAGAGGAGAAGGGTTGTTTGTTGTGGTTGCGTCGGTTTATGGGACGTGTGGTGTGTGAGTAAATAATTCGACGCCTGAGCTGGGGCGGGCCATTGTATTATTTATAGATGTGATTCGACGCGGATCTATTGCGCGCTTGGTGATATTAACCAGGAACAATCTGCTCGCGATCTGCCGACACGTGGATGGCAATTGGCAATGATATTTTTTCTTCTACCACCATGTGAAAGAATTTTATTTATGCTAGGGTTGTTGGGACTTAGAAATACCAAATAGAAATATTAAGGGGTCGTTTGGAGGTTGAGATTTGAAGTGAGGTATTTAGCAAATACATGTAATGATAAGATTAAGTCGTTTTTTTGGTTCACTTTGAGTTAGAATGCATGCATTATCTTTTTGTTGGGCCCACCTACAATCACTCAAAATGAATGATTATAAATCTCTACTAAAAGGTGAGATTGTTAATGAGGGATTGTCTACCCTACTTTTTGTTTCATCATTGCTCTTCCAAACAAAGTATTTTCCTAATACATGCATTGAATCAATACATCAAATGATAATACACTAATTGACCTAATACATCAATTTGAAGAATCACAATTTCCAAACGACCCCTAAAAGTAACTTTTTTATAAGAGTACTTTCATTTGGCATCCCGTGGGTATTACCCGACATGATTCGCGATGGGACGGGCATTATTCGATCCGTAGTAGTGTAAGGTGAGAATGGGTATCTACTTTCGACCCGTACGGCCATGCCATGCCCCGTTCTTGACCCATTATATCTCAATTTCTTACCGTATTTATACATATTTCGACTTTTTTTAACTAGTTAGAGTCGATCTTTTAACTTGTTAGACTCAATTATCCATTCTATTATCACTATTTTTCATTCATAAAAGGTTTTCCCCTTCGTTGTATCGTAACAAGTAAAATTTGCATGTATTTTTTTCAAATAACATATGAGAGTGGGTCCATTTGCACCGCCCCGTACCTGCGCGGGTTTTACTTCCCGAGCCGCAGTAGCATGGGGCGGGGCATAGAAATACCAAATAGCATGGGGCGGGGCATGGGTATTTGATAACACGACATTTGCACATGTTTTCCCCTCCACTTTTGGACTGTTTGGGGTAGGTTTTGTTGAGATTAAATGTCGATTTTACGCTAGATTGTGCTTGTTTGTGATATTTCAGGGCCTAGTCGTGGAAGAAGTCTCTAGGGCAACCTGTGGACCAAATGAAGAAGAGACGGATCGAGAGTCACTAATCAAATGATGAAGGATGGCCAAGGAGGAAAAGTCACAGTCATAACCATGATATCCTCAGCCAAACCGTGACTCAACAGCGGGGAGACAAAGCTCCAAGATCAAGTCACGGCCACGATCGTGAGTCGCTGCCTAAGTAACGGTCACACCCGTGACTTGAGTCCCCATCCATGACTCTTGGTTCACGGTTGAAGAAGCGCTGCATTTTGAAAATAATAAAGCAATTACAACTTGGACCTATTGAGAAGCTAGGGGACACATACTTGAGTGACGCTTCTTGCATTTGAAAACCAAACAATTTACTTGTTTTCTCTGCTACTTTGTTTTCCACAATTTCCCCACAAATTGACAGCTAGATAATAGAACATTCATGGAGCATGCAATACACCTAGGATCCGGGTTGACAAACTTAACCGAACCCACTTTATTGCATTCTCTCGCAGTGGTTATATTTGGCCATTGTGAAGAGTGTTGTGTTTTGGTGAGTCACGCTACCATCATTGTTGTGAAATCTCCATAGTCCGACTAGTTTACCATCATTGCGGTGTCTTGATCGAGGCCTTTGGCAAAGTACTTTGCAATATGATCCAGCATGAATCCATGATGGGGGCATATGCCTTTATATACTCCCAGGAATCTCCTCCAAGCATCGTAGAAAGTCTCTCCTTCATTTTGTAGAAATCGAGTAATCTCGTCTTTAAACTCTTCAATCTTTCATGGTGGAAAGTAATCCTCGATGAATGTTTGAGCAAGGGTCTCCCATGCGGTGAAGGTGCATGGTGGATGGTCGTCGAGCCGCTGCTTTGCTCCTCATCCAAGAGAGAATGGGAAAAGTCATAGTCGGATTCAATCTTTGGTAGCATAATCTCCTGGTATGGAATTGACGATCTCCAAGAATCTCATCAAGTGTTGCACCAGATCATCATCATCATCATCCCTTCCTCTATATCTCCCAGCTTGTTGCACCATCTGGATAAGTTGGGTTCGAATCTTTATGGTCGTTGCTGGCGCAACAATGCTTGAGATGATGTTGGATGCTCTTGGCCTTGAATACTCATAAAGATTAGGTGGAATGGCCACTTATCTTTATCATTTTTCTCTAGCCATTGATGGTGTTAATTGTTAAAGAAGTTGAAGATGCTCATTCTTCCTCCGAATCAAAGTTGTCTTCGACAATCTTTCCTTCCTCTCCCAAGCTTTGCTCAAAATTGGTGGGTCTGAGGGCTCATCTTCTCCTGAGCTAGATGCTCCTTCCTTCGTTTTCAAGATGGGTGAATTCGACGCACCTCATTCTTGGATGATCTCTTGTAAGATCTTTATGCTTTTGGTTTTTCTTCTAGTAATTACAAGACTCATATGACAATATGCAAAACAAAAGAAACTCAAAACTAAACACAAGATGGTTAGATGCTTTTATATGTGATTATAAATCCTCAGCAATGACGCAAAAACTTGATGCGATATAGATTGTAGTTATAAAAAATCATATGGGATGCCTACATTCCTATTCCATGAGGTTTTCTAATGCATAATCGATAGTCTATAGCATCGGTGATCTAATATAGGGCTGTCGGATTGGGTCGGGTAATCCGAACCCAATCATTGTTGCACCCGAAACCCGCTTAACTAAAACCCTAACTCGACCCGATAAGAAAGGTTTCGATTTTTAGGTAACCGAGATCCGAAATTCTCCTTATCAGGTTCAGGTCCAGAAAGAACAAACTAGAACCCGAAATGCCATAAAATATCCCTTTAGTTGTTCAATTTTCACCCACCATCAGATCCCTCGTCCTATTATGCTTCCCTCCCTCCCTCCCTCTCTCCTTCTCAATTCTTCCTTCTCTCCCCATAAATCCCAACAAATAATTACTTTACATTTTCCAAAAATGTCGCCTTCTTTTCCTTGACCATTCACCTCCCTCCCTGTCTCTCTAACTTTCCCATTTCTTATCCATCTACCTAGTACCCACCCAAAAAAAAAATTCGTCTCTTCAATTTCATCATCGTCGAAAAATGGGAGTTATTGTAGCAAGAAAATCGTCTCTTCTTCAGTAAACCATGCGGGCTCATATCATCTTCTTCTTACCCGAATCCGGGTGAATCGATAGCGAAGGTCGGAGAGCAGAAGCAATCTATCAAGGCTGTCAAAAATGAAATTAACGGAAGAATCAAAATCAGGGAAATCCTAAAACCATATCGAAGAAGAGATGCGTTATCTAGATGCTCCGCCCGATAGGGAAAGCTTCGATCTCGAAGGGAGGGATGATTTCACTGGCGATGGAATGGCAGGGCATGTCGTGAACTCATGGGTGGGTCGTGGGAGGCAAAACCACCAAGGTCCTCATCTCAGTCATTCTCTCTATCGAAGCGGCGAAGCCTTGAAGTCGAAAGGTTTGCAGCAAAACCCAAAAGGCCAAAACGCGTAACTGAGATCGTGGGAGGCAAAACCAACACTTTGGGGTTTTTCAGGTACTTATCGGGTTTCGGGTTGCAATGAAACCAAAACCAGTATAGCACCCATTCGAGTTCAAACCAAAAACCCGAACCAGCAACACAACTATCGTTTTGGCTTCGGTTAAACCCAGAAACCCTAAACCGATTTGACACCCCTAATCTAAACATCAAGCATTGATAATACTCGAGGTATAGATGGTTGACCATTTCCTCTATACTCGTGTAGCATCAGTTGGGTATCACTACATGTAATTTCTTATCAATCTAGGTATAATGCATATAGTAGCGTACTATAGAATCACAAGCATCAATGATAAAGAAGCATTCATACTAGATCAACAACAATTATCATCATATAGGCGTAGAAACATAAGCATCAATGCATAAACAATGAGCATCAAAATTCATATAGATCAACACAAGCATGAAATAAAATCCTATCATTCATTCATATAAAGATAAATGAGTGCACATCCTCATACAATTAATTTCAAACTAGCTACATAGAAGAGAAGGAGGTTATGACTCGACTCTAACTACACATCCCAATCGACGGCCAAGCATAACCGACGACTGAGTGTAGTATAGGGTAAACAAGTAATAAAAGTATCAACTTATGGATCTCTAGATGTACCTTACTTCGGCTTAAGTTTCATTATATAGTTATCCTATAATAGTGATTAAGCCAACTAACCTAACTACACTACCCTAGTTAATAACAAGTTTGGAGCTAGCTTAGCTTGAATCCCCCTAGTTCCATTTGTACCAATGTTGCGTACCATCCTAGCTCAATCGACTCAATTCATCTACCATTAGGAGATTGACTCCCTCTGAATTCACCCGGAATGGCGTAGCAGTGAATGGGTAGTGCTCTATTCAACCAAGGGATTCATATACCGCCAAGAAAATTGACTCGAATCCCTCGGGGATTACCTGGAATGACATATGATAGGAGCGACCCTAATACGCCAATAATGGGCTCTAAGGGGATTTTATTCCTCCTAGGTAAAAAGTTCAATTGACATGTAGAACTCATGCATTACATGAAAGCCATCCAAAAACTAAATAAAATGAGAAATCAAACATATGATTCATCACATACATCAACAATAAACCAAAATCTAGACATAGGGTTCTTCAACCTAGAAGAGGGCTAATTCTAGAGAGAGAAGAGAGAGATTACAAAATAGCTCAAGATCTTCATCTTCTAGGTTTGAACCAATGAATCCAAGATCAACTCAAGCCTCCAGTTGAGCTCCAAGATCATTCAAGATCACTCTCCCTCTCTAGAAATGACTCTTTGGGGGCTTCGGTTCAGAAACCGAAAGAAAATCCAAGCTCCCCCTTTCTTCCCAAAGTTGCAGTATCAGCTTGAACACGACCATGAAACAAAACTGTGTTGACTAGTTGTGTTCACTTCCCCAAAGCACTCCGTTTTGATCGTCTGCTGAGGAAAGTGAAG